GAAAATGCCCAGCCCCACCTGTGCTACTTCAGTGAGGTTTTGTGCGGGTAGCATGGTGTTCCTGCTGCTGTTTTCACCTCACTGTCCACAGATGCCAGCAGGAGATGGTGGCCCATGCTGTGGGCTGGGATTGTTGTGGCTTTTAAGGAGTTTTGTCTAGTTGCTGTAGGGTTTTGAGATATGGGGGCTTTGGGATCCTGCTGATTCTCCCCACACTTGAGAGGCCTTCAGAAGTGGAACACTTGGGACACAGTGGTAGTGGTGAGACCCTGGATGAGGTCTGGCAGAAGACCCATCTCTCTCCCCTGTGCAGCTCTTCTGCCCTGCATAGACATGGGTGAAATCACTCTCTGCTTTCCTGAAGACAGGGATCGTCTATCCCAGGACAGAAAGCTGCCACTGTCTGAGCTCCCTCTTTAGCCAGCTTTTCAGCAAAACCCATGCTTAATTTGGTTTGAATCTCAACTCCATCTTTCAGCAGGCCAGCTGGATGAAAGCCTGGAAGGATGAATAGGTTTGAAGTGATAGGCTAGATCTCCTCACAGGACCAGTTTGGGCCCTGTTTGTGAAGAGATTTGATCTCTCCTGGATGCATGCAGGGCTCCCCTCATTGTTAGTGCCACCAGCTTCCTCTCCACTGGAACAATAGTGCCTTGAGTCCTTCCTGGTAATCTCCCCCCTTATCTTCCTTCTCTTCCGTAGTCTGTGTCTCTGGCAGGTGGGGTGGGAGGAGATTTGGGAAGAGCCAATTATGCAGATGGAGGAGTGAGAGGTGCTGTGCCAACCCATGTCTCTTTTTTTGGGGAGCAGGGCTAAAAGAGGGTGCTCAGAGCTCTTCCCTCTGTGCTCTGTAAGCCCTACCAAGCTGTCCTATGCTGGGGTCGAGGATGTTCAGAGGTACAGGTGCCTGTAGGGGTGTTACCCCCCTGTTGCTCTCTCTGGCCATTAGCTCATGCTGGCCTTGCCCCTAGGGCTGGGCCAGCATCAGGAGGTGCCTCTCCCTGTTGGGGCTGCTGGCGTGGGTAAGAACAAGGTAGCCACTGCTGAGGATGCTAGAAGTGTGCGTGGTGGGAACTCTGGATGGGCTGGCTGACATACTGCTCTGGCTCCAGTGAAGCCATGGGGAATGAGAGGGGGTCCATCCCTTGGAAACACCCCTCTCCATCTTTATTTTAGTGTGATGGAGTCTATGGGTGCAGGGCTGAAGCATGGGGGTCACAAGCCAAGGCTGCTGCTGTGGGTGGTACTGTTATGGGGTGGGAGGGTCCCAGTGAGGGAACCCCCTAAAGCACAGTGGTAATTAGGAGCATGGCCTCGGGTTTTGCATGAGCCACGTGGGTCTGCTGGGGCCCTTGTGCTGCTGGCAAGGAAAGTAATGAGAGCCCTCGCTGTGTCCGCTGCCTGCGGATAGAAGAAGGCGCTCCTGAGGCAGGAAAAGTCAATGTAGGAAAGCAAAAAGGGTGGGGAGGAAGCAGTTGTTGTGGAGCCAGCTGTGATGGGGGAGTCCTCTGTAAATCAAAGCGCTCTCCTAAGGAGAAAACTTAAGCCCAGTGGTCAAGTTCTGACTTCTTTCTTTCTCTCAAGCTACGTGATACCATTAGCGGCAGGGAATGCTGTGTAACAGGGAATCCGAGGGAAGGGGGAAGGATGGGGCAGGGTTTAAGTTTAAAACTGGGCAAGGGTACAAAGCTCCTCAGTTCCCCATTTCTGCTTAGTGCAGCTGGAGCTGGGCTTGACAAGATGCTGACCAGAGCTTGTGGTAAATGTTTTACGGTACCGTGTATCAGCCAGATCAATTCTACTACGCTTGAGGGAGTGCAGATAAAATGGCTTAAAGATTCCCCTGCTGAAAGCGATAGGATCATCATTTATGCTAGAGAAGACAGATTTAGTTGCCTGACATTTATTTGGCCACGGTGTACTCTGCAGATTTCCCACCCGGGGATGATAGCCAACCTGATGATGTCAGATGTGAGCTGCAAGCAGAAAAAAACCACACAAAAAGCCAGTGCTGTTCCTCCTGTCGGCCAGAGGAATTTTGCTGTGTCTGGATTGGGTGTTTTATTCCATACATCCCTTTCACAGAAAGGGCTTTATAAGCATAGGACTAAAATTCCGTGTCCTGCACTGTGTTGTGAAGATGGCAGCAGAAATATCTTTGTCAATTTAGGTCATTTCATAGTATCCCAGACTGGGTTGGGTTCGAAAGGATCTTAAGCTCATGCAATTCCAGCCCCTGTCACAGGCAGGGATGGGGCAGCCACAGCTTCTCTGGGCACCCTGTGCCAAGCGCCTCAGCACCCTCACAGGGAAGAACTTGAGCCTAAGAGCTCCTCTCAATCTCCCCTCTTTTTATCCTATTTTGCCTATAGGTCACTTGGACTCCGAACTGAGCAAACATGAGCGCACTTGACTTGACTTCCATCCTTGATTTTCTGGAAACAGCCAACTTGACAGAGATCAACTGGACGTGCAACAATGGTGACTGCATCACAGTCGATGCGACAACATGCCCTGGCACGCTCAACAAGAGTGCCCTGCTGTACACCCTGTCCTTCTTCTACATTTTCATCTTTGTCACAGGGCTGGTGGCCAACTCGGTTGTGGTGTGGGTCAACCTCCAAGCCAAAATGACTGGCTATGAAACCCACCTCTACATCTTCAATTTGGCTATTGCCGATCTGTGCGTTGTCATCACCCTTCCAGTGTGGGTTGTCTCCCTCATCCAGCATAACCAGTGGAACATGGGAGAAATCATGTGCAAGATAACTCACCTTATATTTTCCATCAACTTGTTTGGCAGCATCTTCTTCCTGGCGTGCATGAGTGTGGACCGCTACCTCTCAGTTGCCTATTTCACCAATTCCAGCAGTCGCAAGAAGAAGATAATCCGTCGCTGCATCTGCATCTTAGTGTGGCTCCTTGCCTTCGCTGTGTCTCTGCCAGACACCTATTATCTCAAGACAGTCTATTCCAACAATGAAACCTATTGTCGTCCCGTCTATCCAGAGGAGAGCTTCAAAGAGTGGTTGATCGGCATGGAGCTCATTTCTGTTGTGCTGGGCTTTCTCATACCTTTTCCCATTATCGCTCTCTTCTATTTCCTCCTTGCGAAGACCATCTCTGCCTCTAGTGACCAAGAGAGGAAGAGCAATGGGAAGATCATCTTCTCTTACGTTGTCGTGTTCCTTGTCTGCTGGCTGCCCTACCATATAGCTGTCCTGCTTGACATCTTTTACAGCCTTCATTTCATACCTTTCAGTTGTCAGATGGAGAACTTCTTATACGCCACTCTTCACATCACTCAGTGTTTCTCTCTAGTGCATTGCTGCGTCAACCCCATCCTCTACAGCTTCATTAACCGCAACTACAGATACGAGCTCATGAAAGCCTTTATTTTCAAGTACTCTGCCAAAACTGGTCTCACTAAGCTTATTGATGCTTCCAGGGTGTCAGAAGCAGAATACTCTGCTCTTGAGCAAAATGCCAAATGACTGCAACCCCCTAAAGACACCTCTTTGACTCTCTGACCTTTGTTCTTTGCGTGATGGTTTTGTGTGTGTTGTTTGTTTGTGTGGGGTTTTTACCCGGCTTTCCCTGTACGTGTTATGAACGGGGCATGAATTCCAGCCTACAGAAGAGAAATAGCAAACTGTAATTTAAGAGTAGAATCAAGTGCAAGAATTGAAGTGGTACCAAAATTAAGCCTTTTCTCCTAGCCTGGTCTGGACTTCTCAACAGTGCTATGCAAATGGGGGTGACTTTCTAGCAGACAAAGCCATTGTGTACCATAGATAACATGAATTTTTCAGCATAAGCTTTTCCTTCCACATGTAGATTCCCTCTTGTCTCCTTGTATATGTTATATATATATAGTGTGTTGTATTTAAAAGCTCGAGACTTTATTTTCTGGCTCTTGGTGTACCTTATACAATTGTATTTGAAAGTTAAATATATTTTTATCATGTATTTGAGGTGTATTGCTGATGAGTGTATCCAGAATGCTGTAGTCTGAGTGTTAGATTGCCGTTTGGTTTCAACTGTTGTAGGGAAGAGGATGCCGATGAATAGCAGCATGGAAATGATGCTCTTAGGTGCATCCTCCTTGCCTGACACACTTTGCTGACCATAGCTTTGTGGGGTGGTGATACCCACATTTCTGGAGCATGAAATGTATGTAGTGTAATATAGTTGCCATCATGTTAAAATTAACAGTATTGTAAGAGTTGTTAACTCCTACATCCGTCCTTCACCAAGCTCTATCCTTATGCACAGAATGAATGAGCTGACTTCTGAGAGTTGTCTCTATTTGTAAGTTATTTTTGTAAAATAAAGATCTGGAAAAAAACCCCATCTGTGCTCACAAGTGGTTTGATTTGCTGTCCTTTCAGTCAAAATCCCCAAGCCACCTCCTCTCCTTTGTCTGGTGCAGGAGCAAACAGGTCAGGCTGTGCTCTCCTCATGTTTGTTGACAGTGGGCAGAAGCCCTTGATGGAGGAATGTGAGGCAGCACTGGTGCGTGCAGAGAGGGGAAGGGGTGGGAGGAGCAGCTCTGCCGAAGGCTGTGCTGTTGCAGAAGGTGATGGATTTATAAGGTGAAAGCTGTTGGGAGTGATGAAAGGCTGTGCTTGTAGCTTGGAGATAAACATGCGGAAGGAAAATATGCAAGTATGCAGACGGAGTGGATGTTTGGACTAATCCAGGTTCTATGGGTTTTGCTTGTGATGGAATTTGGGGTTAGTAGTCCTGAGAGCATTAAATCCCTTTTTATCTCTTCCTTTCTTTGTTATAATTTGCATTGAATTTGCAGCGCTGTACTGTCAAAGTGTGGGGCAAGATTCAGCTGCTGCAGAAGGTACGAAGTAGATCTTTAAGCCACCAAACACTTGAATCGTGGTCATCCTCATCTCAGGACAAGGTAACTGATGTTAGATCAATGGTGTCTCACAGCCACCACTGACTTGCTGGTGTGTGTTTTGCAACTTCAATGCACTGTGAAGGCTGTGCTTAAATTCCTGTTAAATCAAAGCACAACCTCATCCTCCGGAGATCCCAAGAGCTAAACAGTTTTGTAATGACTCTATTTTGTTTCTTTCTCCATGCAGTGTTTCTCACCTCGGAGGTGATGCTGTAGAGACATCTGGCAGCACTGCAAAGTCCATCCTGTCCTTGTGCTCCTAAAATATCACTGGTCCATCCCCAAACAGAGGGGCCAGTTGCAGAGAAGGCTGCCAGCATAACTCACCACGTAACTACATAACTATAGCCTTTTGTGCCACTGCTTTGAGGAGAAGGGGATTTTTAGCTTCCCATAAGCCTTTCTTAAGGTACTGCTTAACTGCAAGGAAAGAAAAGTGCTCCCTCATGCTGATAGTAAACACTGGAGATGGTGTGTTAATCCTGAGAAATCAATGTTCCTGATTTAGGTGGGCATTGCTTTCCATGCCCCAGCATCCTTATGTGTATCCTCACCAAAGGTGCTGGGTACAGCTCTGTATCCCGCTCCTGTGTGCCTGCAGGGTGTTGCTCAGTTTATAGCAGTGTAACTGTATCATTTCAGGTTGTGCCTCAGGCAGAGAGCTGTAGTCATGGGATGCTGTACCTGGTTTGGAGGTTGGAGTTAGCAGAACCAGCACTGGGGCTTGGGAAGGGTTGCACGAGGCCTTCCCTGGGATTCAGCACTACTTGTGTGGAGGTGAGCGGCCCTGAGGTGACTCTGTGAGAAGGGTGTAAATGGGCAGAGACCAGAGAAGTGGATTTGGATGCCTTGGGTCTGATCTGAGGGAATTTATCAGCAGATAACAGGAGAGTGAAAACACATCTTTAGGTGGGTGTGACTGACTTGCAGTGATTGATGTGGTGTGGTGGCTGCTGCCACCTTGCTTGGCCAAATGTCCCAGCCCTGGAGATGAAGAGTCCCTGCTTCTTGCTGCTGCAGGGCGGTGGCTTTGGGGCAGGACTGGTGGGTCCTGTGTCTGTCTGTGCCCAGGGATCTCTATTGTTCCTCTCACAGCTACAGGTGCATGTGGAGGGGGGACAGGTCTTGCCTTCACAGTGGGGTTAAACCTACTATGTTAAGATCAGTAAAAATCAAACATAATGCATGCTGGAGCAAGTCCTTGTGCTTAACCTTTGGGCTTTATGGCTGAAAGCATGCCAGCACTGTCAGACTCCACATAGCTCAGGGGCAGGCACTGAGCAAATACAAATACATCTGCTCGGGGAGAAAGGATTTGATTTTATTTCTTATATATAGAAAGTGTAGTCCTGCTTTACCATTACTTAAACACAGAGCTCCTTTTATGAGCCATAAACGACATTCAGGTGTAGCACAGTGACTTTAAATCAGTTCCTCTGGCAACCATCTGCATAATGTATTGTAGGGAACGCCTAACTGGCCTGCTTCTCCTTAATCCATCGTTTCAGTGCTGCTGACTTTAGATACTACCCTTTCATGAGTTCACTGAGCAGAAAAGCCATTTCAAGTTCCAAAGAAGCAAGAAATAACTCAGCTGTGAGCAATATTTAAGCACGTGGCGGTGGCTGTGCTGCCAAAGCCACCTCTTAAACTGCTTCAGAGAGTTTCTTCATCAGAAGAGTTCAGCTGGTACTTCAACAAGTGGGGCTCAGCCCCTGTGATGAGGTATGGGGCTGAGCAGTGCATAATGAAGTGCGATGGGGTTTGGGGGGAACTGGTGTGTACTGAGCCCAGGTATTGCTTTTAGCCTCCCTGCTCCATAACGGAGTGTAGTGAAGAGCATCTGAGCCAGAGTCTGCCCTGGTTTACAGTAGGATAATGCTGCTGATTTAAAGGGAGCTATTTGGGATTTACAGGGCTCTCTATAAGTAGGATCAGGAATTGTAGCCATAATCCTGTGCAAATGTATGGTTGTGAGTGCAGATGTGCGCATCAGCATCACTAATGCAAACAAACACAGCCATAACAGCAACAGAACAGATAATAACAGAGTGAGTTGCATTACAAGGTTATAATATAGTTCAAGCCAGGCTCACAAATATCCTGTGTTGGATAATCCAGCTGTAACCCTATAGCGTGTGCCTGAGTCTTCTGACACCTACTGCCATGAGACAAATCTGTCTCCTTCCATTTTGGTAGTCGCTGCTTGAAAACAATCCACATCTTTTTCATGTAATTCTTGATCTGTTTGGTTTCCTGGGGTTATGTGGAATACTTGCAAGGTCTAAGCTAAAGCTCTAGCATGGAAATGTTACTACTTCATAGTACCAAAGAGATAGCAATGTCCAATGATGCTGTGAGTCCAGGGATACCACCCAATCCTATGGCTAAAATAGTGAGTTGGGTGCTTTTCAACACTGGCTTTAACCTGCCAGAGAGGAGACTGAGATGAGCTCTTAGGCAGAAGTTGTTCCCTGTGAGGGTGCTGAGGCGCTGGTACAGGGTGCCCAGAGAAGCTGTGGCTGCCCCATCCCTGGCAGTGTTCAAGGCCAGGTTGGACACAGGGGTTTGGAGCAACCTGCTCTAGTGGAAGGTGTCCCTGCCTGTGGCAGGGGTTGGAACTGGGTGAGCTTTAAGGTTACTTTAACCCAACCCAATCTAGGATGCTATGAAACTGCTGGGAAACCAACCAGATCCTCTGCACATGCCAGTGGGCCTGGTGCCAGTGTGAGGTATGAAATCAGTGCAACTCAACAGGGCCAGTTCAGCAGAGGGCCTGGGCTGCTGCACGTTATAGCCTTCTTGACATCACCTGGTTCTAAGCTAGCTCTGATGATGGATGTTTTTGCCTCTAGGTTTTGCTGCGGGGGAACACCAAGCCCCCGTCATGTTTGCTGTCTGTACAGTGCTATTTCCAGACTAAAGAAAAAGAGTTAGATTACATTTTAACAGAACAATACCGACAACAGCAAAGGTCGGGCAACTTTTAAGTAAGGTCACCCTATCGATTGCAGCAGTGAAAGGACAGACATCAAATGCTTTGCTATGAAAGGCTGAAAAGAAGTAAATTCGGCATGATATATTGAAACCCAAGCCTCTTTCATATGTTGCAGAGCCTCTGACATAGCAGGTTTACTGTTCAAGCTAAGATGGGTTGCCTTGCCAACATACATTCTGAGTTACCCAAGCAGATTTAATGTTTTTGCAGCAGTGACTTTTCCCTTATTTTTTGGGGAGGAATGGACACTTTTCCTTTTCTTTGCATAAAATTGTTGCAGAAGGTTTCAAACCTACCGAGGAAATGACCTTAATCCATTTAGTTCCAGCCATGAGTATGAAAACTCTCATCTGTTTCTTGCTTTCTCTGAGCATTGTCTCGCTTGCATTGAGCAGAGTGACCCAGTCACAGCTTGATGGAAAAGTGCATTCTGTTTGGTGTTGGTTTGTTGTGGTTTATTTAACCCACTCCAGTGGCAGCTATGTTTTGTGCAGGGGGGTTGGTGTGACTGACAGGGGCTTGAGTTTCTAAGCTCCGGGGTCTCAAAAATGCATGAAAAGAGAATGACACATGCAGAAAAACATTAATCTTTGGAAAACAAGCACCAAAATGTAACAGTTCTGTAGAAGCCCGACAGAGCCGCATTCATTCCCTCCTCCCCCTCCTCCTTCTTCCTCTTTTTAATAAGTCAGTGTTTCTGGGCCACCTACAGTCACATTTATGGCTTCTGCAGCAGGGAATCGGGATGCACAATGAGCTGAAGTCACAGTCATCGTGCGTTAGGGTGGGTTTATCTGCGTCTCATAGAATCAGGTTTTGTGTTGAAGGGACCTTAAAGCTCATCTATTTCTGAGCCCCTTATCCTGTTGCTACAGGCCCTGATGAAGAGTCCCTCTCTAGGGTACCCCTCTCAGGGTTACAGCCCCATCACCACCAGCTTGCCAGGATCTGCTCCCATCGCCTCTGTGGGTTCCAGTCCAATGGGCCCACAACACTTGAAGATCCTCATTATTTATGGCTTGTGTTGCAGGAGTCCCAGGAGAGTGAAGCCGTTGAGCTGGGCAGTGCAAACACAGCTGGAGGGCAATGCCTGATCCATGGAGTGCATGTCTCAGCCCTGCTGAAGGTGGGTAAGGTGGGCTTCAATGTGGGGGAGCCCGCCTGGTCCCAGCATTGTTGTGCATGGTCCCAGTCCCATAGACTCCATAGAGGGAAGGAAAGTCAGATCTCTGTCTTCTGACCAGCGAGCTGGCATCTCCCTTCCTCCAGCGCCCTACTGCAAATTGGCTGTCACTCCCTGTCCTGAGCAATGACCGGGGCACAGTGGATTTGTCCAGCTCAAGACTGTCTGTGACAGCTGTATCAACCCCCTCTGGGGGGCATTGTCATCATTTTTGCTTCCTTCCATCAAGGTCTGGTAATAGATCTGAGACCACACCACCTGGATGCAGAGCATGGCCTCATGAATCAGCCTGTGAGCCCTCTGCAGCACGGCCATGCTTCTTCCTGCCTCTCCTTTTCTCCATGGCCTCACTCTGAAAGCAATGCAGGATGAAAGGTGTGGGAATCCTGCAGTGCGTGGAGGATGCTGAGCCCTTGAGCGTGTGGTCCAGAGCTTTTGTCTCAACCCAGTTAACGGTTCCAGTGACTGGCTTGGGTTTCAAGGCTGCTTTGGTGGGAGGCGGATGGCAGCTCTGTAAAGGAGAGTGGTGATGGAGGGAGAGTTTTTCTTCCCGTTTCCCATTCTGCCTGGGCTGGTGAATGCGGTGGCGATGGCTCTGGGGCTCAGAGGGGTGAGGGAGGGAGGCAGTCAGTTGGAAACGCTGAGAGCCACTGCTTCCCCTTGGTTCAGCTCCATCAGTTTATCATGGGCCGGAGGTGGCTGCTTCAATGGAAGAGGATCTGTGCCTTTGCTTTGCAGTAAATCAATACAAAGCTGGGGTTTGCTGGATTCCCCCTTTCAGGAGAGAACAGCCCTCATTGTGAGTATGGAGAATAAAGCAGCAGAGAGAAAGAGAGGGAAGCTCTTCCCCACTCACGCTCCAGCTCTCTTGGCTGAGAGGCAGCTTTGCTGTACACGTCCCGGCCACGTTTGAATTTGGCATTGCTTGAGGCTTTAAACCATGCATGAGAGTTGTGCCTGTGTGTGGAGGCGAGCACGAGGCATTGTGTGCTCAACCGAATTATGGGATGAGAGCAGTGGAGCCGAGGAGATCCCTGGGAAAGGGTGGAAAATGGGGGTTTAGTGAGGAAAACACTGCTGGCTGCAACGAGCTGTTCTGTGGGCACCACCTTGTCTGTGCCTGTGAGCCCCATCAGTCCTTTGTACCGGGTGATCTCCCGATCCTGTATTCCAGCCTGTATTCCAGGTTAAGAACTCTCTGACAGGGGAACATCCTGAGCATCTGAGAGGGGTGACTGTTTGGCTCAGCACCTGGAAGCCTGGATGCTCCGGGGAGCAGGTCTCACACTTGGAAAGCTTTGTGAGCTTTCCAGCCTCTGCTGCTTCCAGTCAGTTTGGAATCCACAAGTGAAGAGGCCTGTGAAAATGGTTAATAATGAACAAAAACCAGACCCCAGACAGGTCCAGGTCTGCGTCTCCTCTGAAGTTGTGTGCTGGCAGAAGTCTCACACTGCACTTGTGGGGGATTTGTTCTTGTAGAGCCGAATCCCATTCCTCAAACTGGATTCCATCCTGGCTGCTGTTTCTGTAAGGGTTAAGAGCATCTCCAGGGATAAATTTCCAGTGTCCATCAGCATCATGGGTTATATTGCTTTAGGTGCCTGGTAAGTCTTGTCCAGGTAGTTCAGTGGAAACAAATGGGATTTACTTGCATGGGTGTGTGAGTGCTTCTGCACACGTAGCTTTCTTCCCATGGTTTGCCATTGCTCTTAATGGTGACCTCTTTTATTCAGTGAGAAAGTCCCAGACACTGCTTGGCCTGGATTTCTTTGTATGAGGCTTCTTGCTTGCTCCCTGCTCTGCAAGACCAGCAGCTTGTTGCCTGCAGTGTGTGTTGGACCTGGGAAGTGTCTGGGGGAAGGGAAGGCTGTTTCCCATTTGAGCTGTCTGCATTCATGCAAGGAAAGCATATGCACGCGAGGATGCCTTTGGAGATGGGTTAGCCCCAAAGGTGCATTGTTGTCACGCAGAATATAAAAGGAAACAAATGCTTGGGATTGAGTTGAGTTTTGGTGATGATTTAGCATTGGCTGGGAAGCAGCTCTGGCTTGATGGGGTTTTCTCTTTGGCCGTGCATCTTCTGATGTGCTTCCATGTGTTGAATGTTATTCCAGTGCATAACGGGACGTCCCTTATGTCAGTGGCTCGTCATCTCTGTCAAGGGATGCCCACTTCTAAGTTACAGGTGGTGCTCCTGTTCTTGTGGCTGACAAGCCATATGGAGCCAGGCCTGGGGATGGAGAACATGGCAACATCCAGCACCAGAAATACTGCTTGGGGTCTCACCTTCCCCTCTTCCAGTGGTGGCTGAAGTTACACATTGGAGGCAGACAGCACAGGAGATGGGTTCAAAACAAGGCTCTCAGGTAACCCATCATCCCAGGCCTTGTAGAAGGTAGCTGGAGACAACTGGTGGGGGCAGAGCAAAGCTGCTGACTGTTTCCAGGAGCTGTGCTTCACAGGAAAGGAGGGGTTTTTGCCCTTTGCTGCTCTATGATGTAAGTTAAGGCTCCATCTTAACCAGAATCAGGTTCAGTTCTGGTTTTGAGTCAGCTGAGGTCTGGTTCAAGCTTTTTCATGGTGCACAACCTCTCTGTTTGGTTGCTCTTGTTCAGTTGCCAGGGGTGAAGATGAGAGTTGGTTTGGGAGAACCAAGCAGCCCACATTGGTGCAAAGTGCAAAATCACTTAATTTTCAGCTGTAGCATCTGCTTGGTAACCACCCCTGTATTTGTGCATAGATGAAACTTCTCCGAGGTGCTTTGCTGGACTGATTTGACTGTGCTCTTCCTCTGCCTTATGTGCTCTTCTTCACTCCTCCTGCAGACCCTGGGCTTAGTTGTGCCCTGCATTTCCATTGGTCCCAGGGGCCTTATCTCTGCCTTGCAGCCAGGAGCAGGACACTGCCCTATCTCTGGTGCTGCAGGCACAGCTCTGCAGGAGCTGGCACCTGAAATCCCAACAGCAGGGCTGGAAGCGAGCACCAAGCTCTCCACTCGTCCATCCCCTTCCCATTGCAGATCCCTGCCTGTTGAGAGTCGTTTCTCTGGGCCCCTTCACACCCATGTGCAAGTGCTGATGCTCTGTAAAAGCTGTTCTGTAGCTGTACCACCACAGGAACAAGAGCAGTGTGTGCTTCCATCCAGCTCCCTCCCTTATGCACACAGATAGTCTTGCTTCCTGCAGCGCTCCCATGATGAGGTGAGGTTCATAGGAAGTAATATCTCCTGCTAGGTTAGCTGATAGATTTGGGAAAGACCAGACAGGCCATCCTTCAGGCTAAAAGCATATCTGCTGTTCCCCAGGTGATTCAGCCCTGGGTTTTCCAGTGGTATCAGTGCATCACGTAGAGCCAGATGATAAAAGACATGCATCATGGTCCCCTTGCTATCAAACAGTGTGAGATGTTACAAGAGTTATGTGCCTGTTATTGGCAGCAGCCTGGGATCTGGTAGAGGCTGAATCTGATGTGCCTCTGCCTGAAAGCCCTTGGTAGATGATCTTTGCTCAGATAGGGGCTTCCCATCCCTACTCCATTAATCAGTTGCTTACAAAGATGTGAGGGGCTCTTCCTTGGTAGAAAGCATCCCTGGAAGTGCATTCCCCAGGCAATTCGCCCTCCAATCCCCATCTGACAGACTGAAACTCCTGAGATAATACCACAGCTATCTGAACTCTCTTCTGTTCATTGTACAGTGTACTTGCTTCCCCCTCTTCTCCCTCCCCTGCAACAGCAGCATGGTGTTTCTGTGCAAGTCTAACATGGGTTAGTAATATATCATGGGGTAAAATGATAGGTGTTTCTCTAGCGCCAGGCATTTGGCAGCATCTGGTTAGCTCAAGGAGTACCCAGCATGGAGAAATGAGCTTTAAAAACCTCGTGATTTCTTTGTTTTCAACTGCTTCTATTTATTTATGTATTTATTGTGTGCTTCCACCTCCTGGGGCAGCTCCCCAGCTGGTTGTGGAAGAGGGATTGTCAGTGAGAGTCCAGCCCAGAGGATGCTGGAAAGACGAGAAAGTAGTGGAAATGCTCTGAATTCAGTTTTATACCTCATTTACTAGGGATTGCCTTTAAAAGCTGATTCTTCAGCTAAAATGGGTTTCCTTTTACTCTCTTGGCAAAGGAAACATTTGCACAGGGCTTTTGTCAGAGCATTTGTTCATGTGAAAACTGGGTTTTTTTTAAGCGATGCTTTGCAAGTGTGTGATATAGCAGTGCTTATATAGGAATTCCTTGCTCCTCCTTATGATAAGTGCCCTTCTCATTTGTGCATGCTTTTGCCTGTTTGGAGTTTTCCAGCCGAGGTTTCTGCCTTGGACTGTGTTCTTCTGGACAAACACCAGTTCAGAGTGAAACAATCACTGCTGAGAACGAGGCTGTGGAAACTCAAGTAATTTGGTCCATGTTGAAGCAAACCTGGCTCTCTCTTGCTGGAAAGGCAAAGGGAAAAGAATAAAAAGAAGGTGTATTAAAGCTTTTCAGTTAATTCCATGAATCTGCCTATGCAGGAACCTTGCTTTTTCTTACCAAGGGGACTTGCAGCTTAGGGAGGAAAGGATGGTTCCTCTGTTTTCCCTTTCCCGTCAGCGTTTGCAGGTGAGATCAGCTCTGTCGGCATCCACCTTTTGGGTTCATTTTCCCTGGTCCTGCAGAGGATCAGTATTGCAGAGTGTGTCAAACTGTTGTTCAAGAGAGACTGCAGCGATCCTGCACCACACGGGCATCCTTGCATGCAGAATGACCAGGAATCAGTCAAATGCAAGGTCAGAGATGATCGGGGCAGGGGGGAGTCACACTGTATTTCCAGGTCTGCTGTATTTGGCCAGAGCTGAGTCCAGACACAGGAAGCTTGTCTCTGGATTACAGGTGAGCAGCCTGGCAAAGTGCAGCCACTCTTCCCTCCTTTTGCATTCAGAGAGGATACTGAAGGGGCTGTGGGAGTAGCCCCTTGAGAAACCAAGTTCCCTGGCACCCTGCGAGTGGGTGCAGGCTGGAATCACGGACCAGGATTCCCAGCCTCCGATAGCAGTGATGGGGTGGGCAAACAGCCTGAGGTGCAGGGAGCTGCTGTCCCCAAGAGGATGATGGCATTTTTCTGTGTGGGGTAGCCCTAAAAGTGAAGCTACTCAAAGCTAAAGTAAAACCCATGTTTACACGAGCGAGAGCCCTGGCCTGGTGGTGGCTGATGGGCAGTTAACTCTCCCAACTGGTTGTCTGCCTCTACATGATAAGATAGGAGGGGTGAGCAGGGTCCTACTGACAGTTTCTGGATGCAGCAGGTCCTGGGGATTTACACTGGGGAGCGATGCAAGGGAACATCTCCCTGTAACACCCTTTATGTTCCATTCACAGCCAATTTGCTTTGAACAAAGACATGTGTAATCTGCATGAGAAAAGCTTGTAGAGGGACAGGGGCTGTTAAATCCAATTCCATACCGTACGTGTGCATAGGGTAACTGGGTGGGCTTGGAAATGCCTTCTTGGCCTCAGCCCAGCTTCCAGGGAGAGCGTGAGAGGCAGCTGACTCCCAGAGCAGGTTTGGTAGCTGAGGGCTGGGAACTGGATGGATTAGTGGATCCTGCAAGCCCGACTCACCAGGCAGAATGGGTCAGAGCTGATACCTGTAGGGCTGTATCTCAGAATTGAGGTATCTTGAAGCAAAAAGTGGCTGAAACCTGCAAAATGCCTCGAAGTCACTAATCATACAAGCAAAAAAGAGCTGCTGCATGCTGCCCTCCTGGGACACAGGCAGGAGAAATGTGATGGAGCGGATGCTGGGGCAATGAGGAGATGCCTGAAGTTTATAGGTAAAGAAAATGCCTGAGCTTGTAGAGGCACTGTAGAATCATAGAATGGTTTGGGTTGGAAAGGACCTTAAGATCATCTAGTAGATGGCCACTCTAGCAAGTCTGTAGTTACACTGTAGTTAGGCTGTAGTAAGAGACATGTTTTGAGCAGTGATGTGATGCTGCATACGTAGCACCTGAGCTGTGCATTTAAACTGGGATGTGTGTCCATCCTTGCCAGCCAGGAGGATGCTGACGTCTCTCTTTGTCCTGTGCTTTGCTTTGGTGGGATGAGTTTCTGTGCTGAGCTGCCCACAGTGCCTCATAAGGTAGGTGGAGTGAATTAGTCATAGGGATGGTCATAGAGGAGACCAAGCTGGGGAGAAGGATGAGTGGAGGTCTGAGGGTCTTACAGAAGACGGACAGAGGACAGGGCCTCTGGCCACGCTCCCTAGCTTTTGCTGTTCTATCCCTTTCCATCACAGCACCGACTGGGTACTGATGTGGGAAGGAGAGGTTGGTACCCAACCACCATTGAGCTTGGCAGCATCCTTTCCTGCCCATAGGCTTGTACCCTTCTAACCTGAGTTTGGTGGTGTAGCAGAGTAAAAGGTGTTCTGCTGGGGTTACTTTACTTCTGTTTGAGCTTTCTGAGTTCTCTCATCTCTTAATGAATCCATTCCCTGCTCCTTTTCAGTCCTACTGGAAATCTTTTATGTACAAGGGCATTGCTCAGCAGAGTATTAAGCCCAGACTGATTAGAAAAGGCAGGAAGAGCTTCTGATTGTGCTGTATCTGTAGCATAGGTGTTAAAGATGTATTTGTGAGTCAGTCAAGGAAGAATGCTGAGGAAATCCTGTTTGGGTTAATCTTGTTTAATTTTATAATCAAAACCAGATGGCTGGCCATCTGTGCTCCTTGCAATCAAATATCTCACAATTAACAGTAATTTACTTGCCCTGAGACTTCCATAATCTTTGTGTGCTTCCCCCCCCACCCCTGCAACCTGAATATGTGTGGTCCCTTCCCATAGAGTGGTGCTGAGCTTAAGCCTATCCCTGGAGCTGCCTGTCATGATGGAAAGTGATGCAGAGCTCCTGGGAGGCATCTGCTTTCCTGCCAGAGCTCCCACTTACACCCCAAAACAGAGGTAAGCAAAACATCTGCTTTTCTGAGCCTGTAAGACCCACGTTCAGGATAAGGTAAGAGAATGACTGTCCATACCTGTGTACGCATCATTGCAGGCATAAAGGACAGCACTTAAGGGGAATACATAGATCATATATACAGACATTTTCCACCAGGCCATGGGATTTCTTCAGAGCTCCAAATGATTATAGCTGAAGAGGGTTTCTCCAGCAGTTTAAGTTACTGAATGTAATTAAACAAGATGTAGGCCATCCTTTGCGCTAGGAAAGCTTCCTGAGGGAATTAGCAGCAAAATGGGATGCAGAATAGAACCCACAGAGTAAATATACCATTCTTCTGTGCAGCCTTTCCCCTAGGAGGATTAGACACCCCCAGGATTCATCCCACATAAGCTGTTCAGTGGTAATGCTGGGTGCGATGGGCAATTACCAGCTGCAGAAGCAGACACCGTGTAGCCAGCTCATCTTTGTTGATCCCAAGGATGAATTTGGACCTTTGTGACTTGTGGCCTATTTCTGACAACATGACTGAATTTGCAGACAGGAGGAAGAAGTATCCTGCTTTTCAGGGTGATGGGAGCTATATCAGACTGTGATTCATTCTGTGGTTCGATGATTTTTAGGTGGTGCTGCTGGAAATGTCATTTCTTCTCCTTCTGCAGCACTGGTCTGATGGTTCAGTTTCATTGTTTCAGAGGTGACATTGGCAGTGGAGACTGGCCCCTTCAATAACTTGAGGCATCTTTTGAGTATGTCCTTCCCCAGCCACCTCTGTTAGCTTAATGGCATCAATTGTGCATATGAATAAATGAATTCCAGATGAGAGACCTGCATGCCAGCAAGTAAGAGATCTCACAGGCATTCCTATGTGGTTGCTGGCTGTTTACTCTCCTAATACCTTTTGCTAGTAGATGAGCTATAATAATTGGGCTGCTTCTCTCCTCCTCCACAAAGCTACTGGCTTTGCACAAACTCGGTGTGCTCGTGCTGGCTTCATCAGGGAATCAGGTCATGGAGCTGAAAGATCCGTTCAGATACCAGGGTATGCTCAACTGCTGCTATGCTCCATCCTTCAGGTTGTTTATTTAAATAGAGAGGAGCCTTCTGAAGGGCATGAGCTCATTTTAACAGGGCTCCCAAAGGGGATGTCAGGCATTGGTGGGATCTGCAGGGCTTGCAGGTCTAGGGTTTCACACTGCCCTAGGTCTCGAATGCAGCTTAGATCTGACATCCATCCAGAGCAGCTCACAGCCAGCCTGGATAACAGCGGTTACAGAAACAAAGTGGTTACTGAATGGATGCACAGGTCAGTGCAATGGCTGTTGTTATTAGAGCAGTGGTAAGATGCTGCCTGTGACGGTCTGTGTACATGAGCACTTCTATGCAAGTGCTGCTCAGCGCAGAGCACATCTTGGAACCTCTCCTTCCTTTTCCCCCCTTTTCTGCTTCCCTGTTTCCTGATGGGACCAGGGCAGGCTCTTTTCTCCTTCAGTGCTTCTTTTGTCTGCCTGGTGCAGCCTGTGTCTGTGGTATCCCTCTCAGAAGGAGGATTAAAAATGCCTGATCCAGTGATGAGGACCTATGTCTGGCCAGTATCCCGACAGAGAATACTCTTTCTTTCTGAGGTATGCACCACTTTGGGATGTCCCTAAGGATGCAATTACGAGCTTTGCTCCGAACCCTGCTCCAGTTCAGGTTTTCCCACGCTCCTGGTTATTATGTGGAATGAATGGAGGCCCTGGGGCTCACTGGGTGGGTTTTCTCCCACCTGAAAGTCCCCCATCCTTGTCCTTCCATGCCCATACCGCTCGGTGTGCATGGTGCCCAAGGGGTATGCAGACTGTTCAGTCCTGCTCTTCACCCTGCCCCATGGACACCTGGGGGCTCATCACCCCCTTGCTGCTTCTCACCAGGTGGGGACAAAGCCTGACTGCCCCACAGACCTCTGATGGAGGGGTCTGTGTTATCCCTGCCAGGCAGAGGAAAGTCAAGAGGCACTGGGGACAAATAAAGGATGATGAATCAGCCATGCCAGGAAGTGAACCTTGTTCTGCAGGAGAGCTGGAGCTAGCCAGCACAATAGCTAGGTTACAAAGCCATTTCCTTCAATTACCTTCTCTGTCAAATCCCTGTGTTGTCTGGCACTAGGAAAGCTTGGATCCAAACTCATTGTGAATTGGGGCGATGACACCAGAGATCTCTAAAGTAATTCCCTGCCAAGAGGAATGGGGCTTGTTTTTTCCAATCATGTCAGTTCTGATTCCTTGGCTTGTCAGGGAAAACTCTGGCTTCTCAGCTGGCTTCAAGGGCACAGCTTAGGGAAATCATGGGTTGCTCAGCCCAGCACATGGAGCTTGCAGGGGGCTTTGTGCATAGTGGGGAAAAAGGCATTGTGGACCTTTGTTGGCACCTGACAAAGTGCACAGGCTGTGCACAGGATTGGGATGGAGGGGACTGGGCCCTCTTTGTGGCTTCCCAATAGGAAGTCATTGGTTATTCCGGGTGCAATTACAGCCCATGGTGTGTTTGCTCCACAGGCTGGGTTAGATATATTCAACTGAATGTCAAAGGACTCCTTTGCACTGCAAAACACATGAACCAGGAAAGGAACAGCATGCTGGCCAGCCACTGTGCCAGCTAATTGGGGTCTGATGGCCATGTTACCCAAAACCCATTCCTTTACAAGCTGGGATGACTGTGTTAGAGGCCTCCACTGCTGGTGATGGGAATGATGTGGACCCAGAAGGTGAGCTGTGGTGTGGTAGTGGGGATTGGGAGGCTCTATGTCTGCTTGTCCTATTGCAGACAGACTGGGACAGTCTTTAGGAAGGGAGGGGTGTGGGTCATAGAATCATAGCATCCCAGACTGGTTTGTGTTGCAAGGGACCTTAAAGCTCACCCGGCTTCAACCCATGCCACAGGCAGGGACACCTTCCACTAGGGCAGGCTGCAGGGCAGGAGCAGATGTGGGATGCTGCGTGCCAGCATCCCCAGAGCATGCTGAGAAGAGGCAGAGCCAGGGGGTTCAAACACACAGACCTTGGTTGCTGGCTGTGCTGCTGTGAGGAAGGCAGGAGCATGTGACAGGGGGAGAAAACCCCCAGCTTGAGCAATATGTGAAGGCCCTTTTGGGGTGGTGAAGCTGGATACCATGTGTGTGATGGTTTATGTCCCTCCTGTCAGCTCTTAGGGGGTGAAGGAGCCTTGTGGGGTGCACCGGAGCTGAGCCCTGCCAGCCGGTGCCACTGGGATTACATGGCTCCTTTGTCAGGGCATCAGCAGTTGGCAGTGGGCACCCAGCCAGTGGGATGCATCACTGCACAGGCATCGCCAGTGCCAGCATTCCCAGCCTTTGGGAAAGGAGCACCTGCTTCCCACAGGCATCTCTGCTGCAGCTGCCACTGTGGGCACCGTCCCCATGCCCAGGGCCAGGTTCTTCCCCTCCCAGCCCCTTGAAGCTGCAGGCAGGGTGTCTCTGTACATGCACCATCTCGGGGCACACAGCACTGTCAGTGCCCATTGCCAGCCAGGAAAGGGGAGGCTGCTGTGTGCCAGCAAGGAATTCCAGAGGTTTCTAGACTTCTCCCTTATAATTGCCATCTGCCTGCCCCAGGTACAGAGCTGGAGTCCGGCATAGTCACGGCAGAGCTGGAGAGAGGCTGCAATGGGCAGCATCCCTCTTTCCTTAATGTTAACCCCAGCGCCTGCCTGAGCTCCTTAGGAAAGGATGAGAGGATGGGCAGGCTCGTGCTCTCCAGATGAGCAGCAGAGGTATTGGTGGTGAATGCTGAGGCTGTGTGACCAAGCACCCCATTTATCACCCCACACATCCCCAGCACTCGCAGCTCCTTATCTCTCCTCCCAGCACTGGCGTGGTCCCTGTTCAGGGCTGGAGCAGAAGCAATTGGTCCCTGTGTCCCCTCTGCAGGCTCTTCCCAGCTGGTGGGTCCTGCTCTGCCCGGTGCCTGCCTTGCTGTACCTGGGTGCTGGATGCTGTGGTGGGAAATGCTTCTCTCCTGGGGGCTTTTCCAGCCACGGCTTTGTGAGTTCAGACAGACGTGGTTTCTGACAACCTCAGCTTTGAGGCAGGCTCCCTTTTTACATAGCTTTGGTGGAAATCTGCACTTTAGTGGATGTGTGGAAAAATGGTGTTTTCAAAGCAAAAATGAAATGGAAAACCACCCTTCCCCCTCCCTCCCTCCCTCCCCCAGTGCAATGTTATTTGGGAAGTGGGGCCTCTGGTTTGAAGCGCTTGAAGCACAGACACATCTTTCTCTTTACTCCCTCCACTTCGCTGCTCCTTCCTTTGCTTCCATTTCCATTATTTTCATTACGTCTCAAGTCCATTCCCAGCCGTCTCAGACAGCCCTTGCTCCCCTCGTCCCCTGTAGGGTGTAGGGTGTCAGGAGAGGTCTGTTGAAGGGTTTAGTGTGTTAAGTCCCTGTTTTTCCATTTTTGTTTTTGCCGTCTCAGAGCTGACACTCTCTATAGGAACTTTGTGCTTTTTACATGAATTAGGCTTTATAATTAATGCCCACTTCCCTGGGGCTGTGCCTGTGCGCTGAGGTCCTGCCTGTGCATAGGAAGGAAAGCAGATGGCTTCTCAGGAGCTGCTGGTTTAACTATGGCTGGGGAGCCTGTTTGCATTGGCAGCTTGCTAAAACCCTTGTGTCCTGCTGCACATCCCAGCCCCTCTGTCTGCGGAAGTGATGCTGTGCTGCAATCCCATGCCTGCAGGTTGGATTTAACACTGAGGTTTGGGCAGTGCTGCACAAGCTTGTGTGTGTCAGCTTGGATGTGGTGTCCTGAGCATCACGTCTGAGGAGCATGAATGGCTGTGCCCAGAGGAGCTGTGGCTGCCCCATCCCTGGCAGTGTTCAAGGCCAGGTTGGACACAGGGGCTTGGAGCAACCTGCTCTAGTGGAAGCCCATGGCAGGGGGCTGAAACTGGATGCATGTCAAGGAGTGGGGCTGAGACCAAAGGGATGCTGCAGGGTGCAAGGAGGATGGAGCCGGTGCCGTGGATCAGTGACCACGAGATGCTGTGTCTGTGCATTGTGCAAGGAGCTCTCATGTGGGTTCAGTCGAGCCAAAATACTCTTTCAGAGAGAGAAGGGACCAGATGTCTTATTATTGCTGCTGTCAATGCTGCCCCCTGAGCACAGCAATCCATCAGGGGCTCAGCACAGCCCCACAGACGAGTCCCTGACATGATTTTAGAGCAGGGCCGGGTTCTCACCACTTGTGCGCATTTGTACCCCCTGACAAATAGCTGTTTGAGTCCGGTTTTGTTCAAAGCCTTGGTCGTGTCAAGCACAGGGCTCCTATTCAAGTGCCCACCAACGGTGGTCCACAACTCACTGTTTCCTCCTCTTTCATCGCTTTGTTTCCCTGTGGCAGTCACTGGGAACTTTGTCTTTTTTTATCTCATAGGGGTTTTGAAAGACAAATTTCAAGGATTTATCCACAGCAAAACAGTGCCTCTTATGAGGACAGTGAAAATGGGTTGGGGGTGAACGTGTGAGGAATACCGTTTGCATGGACATAGGATCATAGGATCATAGAATAGTTAGGGTTGGAAAGGACCTTAAGATCATCAAGTTCCAACCCCCCCGCCATGGGCAGGGACACCTCACACTAAGCCATGTTGCTGATGTGACACTTGATTGCTCTTTATTTTGTGGGTATATTTTTTAATATATATTTGGTATATAGAATTGCCAGGCAAAGACTCATAAGCATTGAGAAATGCAGCTCCTCACAGTGGACCAGCTCCTCCTTAATAGTGATTCCTCTTCAATGTGGGAGATGTGCTCCTGACTGCCCTGAGCACCTTGGCTGGGGAGGAGGATTAGTACCAGGTGCTTGTCCTGCTGTATAAACCTGCACAGGTAAGGTGTTGACTTTAACCTGCTTTCTAAGTGATGTGTGTGCCCAAAGTTGCCTGTAGAGAATAGGCCCCAGGTGTGTCATGGGCTGTACAAACACGTAGTGCAAGGGTGTCCCAGCCTGCAGCAGCTTGCAGTGTGAGCCCCCAAGGTGCTGGTAAACCCATGCAGACCATGCACCCATGCAGCCCTGTTTTCACAGTGCCACCATAACGTTTCTGCCCCCTTCTCCTGGTTGTTAACAGCTTGGTTTTATAAATGAGAAGCCCTTTGTATTCTGCAGACGGTGACTTCCTGATGTGCTTCTCCAGTTCAAGCTCCCCTTTGACTTCAGTGAGTGTTTTCTGTGCTCAGGGAGCGTTTTCCATCATTTAGAGCCTGAAGGGAAAGAGGATTTATGGAATGGGGAGCGTGAGGCACCAGCTCAGCAAATACCAAAGCATCTATGTAAGCGTTTGTACGTTGGAGACGTAAGTACACAAGTGGTCTTGATCTTAAGTCACTCCGTGTTGCTGGGTCCAAAGGCTGAACTGGGAACATGCAACACAGTTTGTATGCTGGCATTTTGAGATGTCTTCTCTAAGGAGATGTTTCTCTCTGCTGTGATTTCGCATCTTCTTCCAATCACTCTCAGTCTGTTTAGCAGACTGACAGCCCCTCAGCACATGCTGAATGTCACATCGTCAGTGCAGTCAGTGCAGTCGATTAATCATTTTCTTATGGTCTTAGCCTCAATTCTCTTAAATTTTGGCAAGGACATTGTAATATCTGACCTATTGTTGTTTGTCTCTCCTTCTGTCCTACTGATGTCCCCCAGCATTATGGAGGTCTTTGGTGGCCCTTCCAATACTCTTGTACTTTAGAGATCAGTTTTCACTGCAGCCTTCAAAGTCAGCTCTCAGCACACTGCTAGCTTCTCTGTATGCAGGTGAAGCCATGAGTGACTGTGTGTGTCTGTGTGTGTCTTGTGGTGGATAATGGGGGCATCTTCACTGGTCATTGTAAAGTCAGGATCTGTAATTAATTCTTCTGTAAAGCTCTCAACCTCAAGGTGAGCCTTTATCCATCTATTAGTGCAGGGAAGGGACGCGCTTGTCTACAGGCAGAAGATGGGAGCAGGGAGGAAAGAGAACTGGCTCCTTTGTTTGAATGATATTGTTCCCTTCGTGCCTCAAATAAAATGAGAGTGTGGCTAAAACCAGTGAGATTTGAACTCTCAGAACACAGACTTCAAAAGGATTGGAGAAAATAGTCCCGGAGCAGGCACTGGAGACCCCATCCCGCAGATTCCTCTCATTCCAAGTGATACCTGTGTGAGTCTTTGTAAATGTTTGTTTAACCTGTTTCTGGCACTGTTGAAATGTTCCTTTTCCCTTTGCAGATGTGAGGCTCAGGAGCACACGCACGTGCTTGGGTTCCCCTGTTAACCCCCAGGAGCTGTGGCTTAGGGAAAAGCACCAAATACTGCAAGAGCTGTTAACACTTCATTATTTGCATAAGTGGTTTTTTACCCCGCCCCCCTTTCTTTTTTAATAGCAGCTTGGAAACAGTTTAAAACTCTTTCCATGGAAAGCTCTGTCAGAGAAGAGATGGTTTGGTCACAAACCTTCATGCAGAACTGATTATACAGCCCGATGTACTGGAGCCTTCCGTGGAAGGAGAACTTGATGTACCTCCATATACAGGCAGCAGGACTTGTTCTGCCAGATTCAAAGGAAAGAGAGGAGTCCCCTAGGGGTGAGAGTAATCCCTAACAAAAGCAGATAGTGTCTGACAAATCTAATTAGTATTGATGATTCAGAGCCTGCTGAGCTGGAGAGCATAGCAATACGGCCCTGTGTTAGTAAGGATACGTGCTTCAGGACCATGCAGCTTTGCCAAAGGAGAAATGCAGATCAAGGAAAAGCTGAAGTAGATGCTCAAGTATTTGTTGGTTGGCTGGACTAGCTAAAGATAAAAGGGGCAAAAACCCCACAATAATCAAAAGCTCTTTCAGTTGACTCTATTGAAGGCTTTGGGGGGACTCTTCAGAGAAAAGTTAAACCCACTTTTAATTCAGTGTCTTTCATTTGCCCTGAAGAATTACATTTTTGGAGACTAACATGTAAAAAACCCAACAAACCAAACCAAAACCCCAAAACACAACAGGTTCTGGGGTTTTTTATAGGTAAAATGTAGCCCATAAAGGTAGCCCGTAGCTGTATTTGGTGCAACTGTAATCTATTGTTAAGCACAGCCTAGGGTGGTAGGCTAACAGGAGCTCATAGAAATGTGTCTCTGCAGGTGATGGCAAGCTGACTTTTCACCTCCTGATCTGGACTGATGGCTACCTTTTGAAGACCCTCCTGGTCATTAAGGGACGTATCGTGATCCTGTTTCCAAGCCTCTGATGCTCACTTATTCCACTAGAAAGCTGACAGGAGAATGGTGTGTTGTAATACCGTGAACCGCTTTGCAGATATTTAAGTGCAAGTTCATTAAGACATGGTTTATATTCAGCACTCACTGGGCTTGGAATTTCTTCCAGGAGATCCCAGCATGCTTGAATGTCTTGTCCCTTCAGGTTACAGGGGGACACTGACAGATGGCTGCTCTCTCATGGGTGGTTCTGATTTGTGGGGTTCCTTGGGGCAGGCAGCTTCCCCAGTGGGTGTGATTGATTTGGTTTGGGTTTTTCTTTTGAGCATTGCACAATTCCTTGGAATAACGCCTTTCATCTTGTCTCCACATGATTGGTTTTTCCTCTGCGTCCCACTCAGTGACTCAGGTCAAAGGCATCTTTTCCAGTGCACTGTTCCTTTGGGGATTTTTTTGCCTTTCCAGATGTGCGTGAGCTCAAGGACAACAACTGGAATGGAGACAAGTGTTAAGAGCAGCATTGACGCTCAGCTCTAGTTCTCTCAGAAGGTGAAAAGAGATGAGGCTTTGATGTAGTGTGGAGGATCCTCGCTTTCCATCCAATTAGAGTTGATGACTGGACCCCTTTGGAGCCAGGCAGCTGACCATGGAGCTCGTTTATTCTCTAGCAGCACTGGCAAGCATTTTGGATGAAACCGCCACCAAAGATAGGGCCTCCCTACTTATCTCCCAGCTGATGCTTTAAGTACCTCTACTCAGCCTGCCTGATCCTGGAGCCTTTAGGGTTATATGAGGTTCTACCTATGCTTTGGTCGCAACAACCTGGAGTCTATTTACTGACAGAGGCTGATCAGGACAGAGAAATCAGGTAACTCCATGTCTCCCTGCAAGGAGTGTCCAGAATCAAGGGACTCAGATTTCCAGCTTGGACTCTCCACAGCCAAAGAAAACCTCTTAAATACTTCTGAATTCATGAAAGACCCTCAGAGACTGTAATGATGAGCCCAGAAATTCTTCTTTTACTTGCTGCTGATAACTATGGAGGTGTTGCCAGCACTGGGAACAGCTCTGCTGTCGTCACAATGTGGGAAAAGGCTGGCTGAGCAGTCAGACGCCTTCATGCATGTTTGTGAGGAGCCCAGCCTGATGTGCTCAAAATGGGGTGTTCGGCTGCAGGGCTCTTGTAGCTCCTAATAAGTTCTGATCTGTCTTTTGAAATCCCAGCCCATGTGTAAGTCAAGCTAGCTTGATTCAACTTACTCTTCCCTACCCAGCAGGCAATGCCTTACTCTGAAGTGGGAAGGAACGTGCCTCTGCTATACTGGGTCTATGGGTGTCTGATGAGAGCTTGTGAAGATGTTTCAGATGCCTTCTGGCCTCTTTCTTCCTGGGATATGTGTTTCTCTTTGCAGTGAAGAACTGTGCTTTCCACCCTGCTGCCAAGCCGGATACTCCTATCCCAGGTAGACCCTGCTTTTAATCCTTCTCCCCAAGCTGAGGTTTTTCACTGAATTACTCGTGGTAGAGTTTCCTCCCTTTCATGTTGCGCAAAGACCTGGTGGTGGGGTCAGGACTTGTAATCCACAGCTGGCCTGAGGTCTTGTGATCCACAGCATCATGCGGGAAGCTGGGAATGGGCAGGTGGAATTCCTGTGTGTCTCAGAGGGAGCAGTGTCTGATGTGCAAGCACAAATGCTTTTGTCTAAAGTGAAGTCTGAGCAGCCAAGCCCCTTCGCATTGGAATTGCAGTGTTAATTAAACCTGACTGGGAATTTCCCAGTGTTGGTATACAGGGATTTTTGCAGATTGAAGTTTCCAGCTGAAAGTGCATTGACAGAATGGAGAGGTTTTGCCAAAGCATGTCTTAAACCCAAACCAAACCCAAACCCCTTTTAGAGCACAGCTAACCTGATATGCCCATAGTCACACAAGAGGTCCATGGCACAGCAAGGAGCACGAGTGCTGCTTTTTTATTCCTTGGACCGACATTTAATGTTACAGGGTTGCTTTTCCAGCTGGGAGTGACCTCAGCCAGAGCTTGGCTTCACCAGAGCAGAGTTAGTGCTTAGTGTCTTCATCCACAGTGATTCCAGCTGCAGACATGGAGAGGGGGGGAATGGAGCTGAGATCATGTCAAGTGATCATTGCAGGAAAAAAGAGACTGAAAGCACGTCCATTTCTGCCTCCTGTCTGTGATGTTCCAGCTGTCCATGAATAACCGGGTGGCTGCTGAGAATAGCAGGATGATGACTGTCATCTCTGCTGGTCTCTGCCAAGGTAAAGCAGCTCCATAAAGAGATTACAAGTATGTTTTTTCATCTTGTTGTTGCAGGAGCTTGTGTAAGTTGCTCCTCTGTGCTCTGGTATTTCATAGAGTCATAGAACTGTAGAATGGTTTGGGTTGGAAGAGATCTTAAAGCCCATCCAGCTCCAACCCCTGCCACGGGCAGGGACACCCTTCACTAGAGCAGCTTGCTCCAAGCCCCTCTGTCCATGGGGCATTTCATTGCAGTACAGCTTTGTATAGGTGTGAAGGAGTATCTCTAAGTGACACCTCTGTAATGGCCTTAAGAGAACCAGAACATGAAGAAGGCAGGAGGACTGCTTAGACTGATCATTCCTAGCTCATGTTTCCAAACACAGTGTACCATCTCCCCTCCTTAGAGACTAGACAGGGCTTAATGGACTGTGCAAATAGTGAGGTATTTTTTGTATGCTGCAACATTATCTACAGCACCAGACACTGATTCATGTGCTAAATTGGTACCCCTGGGTGCTTTAAGTTGTGTATTACATTGTCATTGCCCTACTTCGTGCGTGTTACTTAACCATAAGGAGAGTTTTAGACATTGAGTGCATTTTGATTATAACTGCTACAGAAGTTCATAGCTTGCAAAACTGACATTTTTGCACCTCTCTGACCTTTGCCACATGAATAGCAATGCAGGCTTGGCAGCACTTTGCTTTTCTTAGCACTTTGGATGCCATAAAATCACCGAGCATCCCAGGCATCCCAAGGAAATGTGTGTCTTAATTTATTTCAGCCTTGAGAATATTCTTGGGCTGTTTTGCTCACCAGCCCTTCAAAGGACGTGCATGAACCCTCATCCCCCCCTCATCTTGGCTTAGTGAAGGATGCTTGCCCAATATTCAACTGCGCCTAGCCTTGGGTTGAGCCAATGTTCCTTATCTTTCTGTGGATGATGATAATGGCTTTGCAGAGCATGTACTCCTAATGTTACTCACAAGAAGAAAAGTCACTGAAATCTGAAAGAGTCTCTTTAATATTGCTATTTATAAGCCCAAATGAATGTGTCCTCTGGAGATTATTGCTTCCTGCTCCTTCTCCTGGCTCCAGCTTCTATGTTCCTGGTCAGTCTTTGGCTTCCTTTCTGTTTTCTAGAGCAGTTGTTGTGCTGCCTCGATGCTCAGATCCTGTGTTCAGCCTGACAAAGGTTCTCAATGGAAAGTGTTTGTGCACTGCAAGCAGTTTGTTGCTGTTTAAGACTCACGTGGCCACCCTGACATCGCTGTTGTTCCACACAGGAGCTTGTTTTCTCACAGGAGTTGTCTTCTCAGTGGTGCTATGGGTCACAGCACAAAACATTACTGTGTAATGGAGAAACTGGGGAGCTAACGGTGAGATTCTGATTGCATCATACATAACCTGTAAATGTATGCTGGATAAAAGTAATGCTTGAAAGCACCTAGTGAGGTTGTCAGGACAGGTCAAAACAGGGGGGCTCTCTGTGGCAGTGTGATGGGTAAATTCTCCCATTTCATGCCATTTCCCACTGCATCAACTGATTACCCCCTCTTGGTACATGTAGAAGCCTCCTGTCACTCCATGGTGGATGAATTTCTAGGCAGCTGAAGCTGAAGTATCTCCAAGCTGGATGAATGGGTCTTATAGATGTCAAGCCTTGCAAACGAGGTTCATTTTCCTTGGGTGCTTTCCCCTGCTGTCCCTGCTTTGGGACTCTCTGCTGCTCTACTGTATCTTGATTTCTTCTCAGTCCTCCCCTCTATGTGTGACCCTGATGGGTCACCTAACAATGGGGGATTCAGATTACTACTTCTTTCAAGTCTTGAAGGCTTAAGCAAAGCCTTCCAGGCAATGTCAAGAGCAAAGATTTGAGGAAGGACTTTGCTGTGGAGGAACACATTTTGACTGCTATCTTAATTCAATTAAACTGAGCATTGTGCATGATGAACTCAGCTAAAATCCATTCTTTCAAATTCCCTCAGTGCTTTATTAGGTGTTTCAATTGTTTCACACTCTTTTCTGCATGTTGTCTCATATGTGCTTAACATCAGGAGCTTTGTCTTCCTTCGTGCAATAGCTGCTGGTCGGTTGTGACTGCTGGGGCCTTGGCACCAGGATTCTGGTTTGGGAAATGCATCAGACCAGCCCCATGAATGGGCCCTAAAAAGCTGATGACATTGCTTTGCCCAGAGGCTGCTGCAGTGGAGGAAGTCTAATCACAGACTCCTGCAGGCTTTGGGTCAAATCTCCAGCAAAGCTGCTCTAAGAGAACTCTCAACACGCTGCTATTTCCTGCAAATTCAGCCTATATGTGAGCAGGAATCACAAGATTTCTCATTCAGAGGGCTTTAGCCAGCCCTTCTGGACTGCTAAGTGGGGTCCAACCCATAAGCTTTATGATTACAGGTACCAGAGACCTATGTAAGGGCTGAATGGCTTCTTTATTTGAAGCATTGCTTCAGGTACAAGGTTGGTCAAAGCAGCGCTCGTGGAGGAAGAGCAAAGAACTTACACCTCTCCACATGAGATGTTACTTCAGTTTCCAGCTCCTTCCTAAGTGGGGAAATACTATTTGCAGATAGTGCAGTTGCAGTGCAGTTGTATGCTACCCCATTGTTAGCAGGATGGATTTATTACTGCAGATGCATCTACTATCTCATTTCCCCTCACCAACATGTGGAATGGTTCTGCTCAAACCCCGTCCAACGGCAAGGCAGAAAACCTCAACATCTATCAACTTGACAGGTCGGTTTGTGGTTTTCTTTACATACAGGGTAGGCTTGGCATGGACAAAGGGTCTGCTGCATCTCCTGGAGAGCTTGAATCCTTTGGGGGCCCAGATATGGAGAGACTGTTCCTTGCAGGAAAAGCAGTTGCCATGGTAGACAGCAGCCTTGCTGTTCTGTGTGCTCCCTTCTGTCCCATCACACCACAGATGGAATTGAAGAGTTCTGAAGAAATACTAAAGGATATGGATGTAATTGGCTTGGAGCAACCTGCTCTAGTGGAAGGTGTCCCTGCCTGTGGCAGGGACTGGAACTGGATGAGCTTTAAGGTCCCTTCCACCCCAGACCATGCCATGGTTCTATGACCCTATGATGTGTCTCACAGGTGACATGGATTTCATCCTGGCCTCTGTAGTGGAGAAAATAAAAACTATCCCAGAATGACTTTGAAAGAACAATTCCTTCCTTTTCCACCCAAAGCAGAGCTCAGACAAACAGCAGTGATTCAGGGTTAGAGCCTCAGGCTGGGTCAGGTATCTTCAGCAGGTTATTTTGGAGCCTGTGCAGGACTCTATGCCCTGGTTACTCTCTCTGAGATTTCCAAACTTTCTTGGCTAGGAGCAGTACTTTAGAAACAGCAACCACAGAAATGCAGGTCTTGCTTCACTGCACACACTTGGATGAGAGCTGGTTGTGGCTGTTTCTTATCCATAGCTCTTTAGATCTAGTGGCCTGCATTTAAGTATGTTTCATTTATGAAAATGAGGTGAAGCAGGATTCCTTCCATGAACAATCACTGTTTTCCTCATGACCTGCTCAGGGATTTCATCTTTTTCTTTAACTCAATATTTCAATTCATTTCTTTCTGAAAAAAAAGAAAAGCAAAAAAGGGATATGCACTGGTTATTTATGTGTGTACAGCCCATATTTGTGTGGGTTTGGTGCTGATAGCCTGCATGTGTGTTTACAATAGCCCTTGTGTTATCCCAGCCGGCAGCCTAAAAACACTTCCAAATTATTCCACATCAGAAGCAAAGAGGGTTTGGATAGACTCCTAGGGGAAAGTCTTGAAGTGGTGCCCAAACCTCAGTCCCAGTGCTGTAAGTCAGGCACGTGGCTGATATTTTATCCACCCCAAGCTGGACTTTCACAAACTGTTTTATTTGTGGAGGGAACGGGAACTTGGGAGCAATTGTAATCAGTGATTTCTTGGAGATGGGTTTCCTCCTCTCCTTTGTCCTCTTTTCCTCTCCTCACACACACGTGTGTGCTTTCTATGAACTGATGGAAAGTATGTGCATGTAAGCACAAGGACCTGGCTGTACTAAACTAAACCTCCCTCTGCATAGGGGTTGACCTGGTTACAGTCTGTGCTTTTGGAATAGAGCTGATTTTATGCATGAAATACTTGGATAACTGTACGTGGATGAACACCGGGGATTTCAGTTCTGTCCCAGTGATTTGGTGTTTGCTGGTAAACCACCCCAGGACTGAGCACTGATGGACTTTCCAGGTCTGAACTTCCCAGGCAGTGCCCTAGGACGTGGTGTCCTGAGTCAGGTGTCTCTCAGGCAGGCTGAGAAACCCTTTAGATCCTGACAACCCAGGGAATCAGCCAGCCCTTAAACCTCTGAAACCTCTCAGTAGCACAGGCAGTCAGGTAGGGCTGCCTTGGTGTTCAGGACCCTAAACCCCCTGCCACAGGCAGGGACACCTTCCACTAGAGCAGGTTGCTCCAAGCCCCTGTGTCCAACCTGGCCTTGAACACTGTCAGGAATGGGGCAGCCACAGCTTCTCTGGGCACCCTGTGCCAGTGCCTCAGCACCCTCACAGGGAACAGCTTCTGCCTAAGAGCTCATCTCAGTCTCCTCTGTTCTGGCAGGTTAAAGCTGTTCCCCTTGTCCTGTCCCTACAGGCCCTTGTCCAAAGCCCCTCTCCAGGTTTCCTGCAGCCCCTTTAGGCACTGGAGCTGCTCTGAGGTCTCCCCTTCAGGAGCCTTCTCTTCTCCAGGCTGACCCAGCCCAGCTCTCTCAGCCTGGCTCCAGAGCAGAGCTGCTCCAGCCCTCGCAGCATCTCCGTGGCCTCCTCTGGACTCACTCCAACAGCTCCACATCCCTCTGGTGTTGGGGGGCCCACATCTGGACCTAGTATCTGAACCAGCTCTGGTCCTGGGCCTTCACTTACCCATATAAGAGTTGACTTTACCATTGGAGTAAAGATCACTTTTGTATATGTAATGTAAAACTGGCACATGCATTGATTTAGGAATGCAAAACTATTTTGTT